TAAAAGATAACAGTCCGTCACGACTGACAGCTCTTCTAAACCGTTGACAGCATACAACACATCCTTCAGCACTTGTCAGATAACAGCTGCTAACTTCTCCTTTAACCGGACGTTTTTCAGTAACAACCTCGGCTGCCAGGTCGACCCTAGTAAAGGGGGTGGGCGAGTGACCACATGACCCGACTAAACCTAGTGACCACATGACAACGACAAGTGCAGCTAGTGACCACATGACCCGACAGTGCAGCTAGTGACCACTTCTCCTTTAAGTGCAGCTAGTGACCCGACAAGCTGCAGCTAGTGACCACATGACTTAAACAAGTGCAGCTAGTGACCACAAGCAGCTAGTGACTACATCACCCGACAAGTGCAGCTAGTGACCACATCACCTGACATGTGCAGCCAGTGACCACATGACCCGACAAGTGCAGCTAGTGACCACATGACCCGACAAGTACAGCTAGTGACCACATGACCCGACAAGTGCAGCTAGTGACCACATGACCCGACAAGTACAGCTAGTGAGCACATCACCCGACAAGTGCAGCTAGTGACCACATCACCCGACAAGCGCAGCTAGTGACCACATGACCCGACAAGTGCAGCTAGTGACCACATGACCCGACAAGTGCAGCTAGTGACCACATGACCCGACAAGTGCAGCTAGTGACCACATGACCCGACAAGTGCAGCTAGTGACCACATGACCCGACAAGTGCAGCAGCATGTGCAGCCAGTGACCACATGACCCGACAAGTGCAGCTAGTGACCACATGACCCGACAAGTGCAGCTAGTGACCACATGACCCCGACAAGTGCAGCTAGTGACCACATGACCCGACAAGTGACCACCTTACCCGACAAGTACACAGCTAGTGACCCACATGACCCGACAAGTACAGCTAGTGAGCACATCACCCGACAAGTACAGCTAGTGACCACATCACCAGACAAGTGCAGCTAGTGACCACATCACCTGACATGTGCAGCCAGTGACCACATGACCCGACAAGTGCAGCTAGTGACCTCATGACCCGACAAGTGCAGCCAGTGACCACATGACCCGACAAGTGCAGCTAGTGACCACATGACCCGACAAGTACAGCTAGTGACCACATGACCCGACAAGTGCAGCTAGTGACCACATGACCCGACAAGTACAGCTAGTGAGCACATCACCCGACAAGTGCAGCTAGTGACCACATCACCCGACAAGTACAGCTAGTGACCACATCACCCGACAAGTGCAGCTAGTGACCACATGACCCGACAAGTGCAGCTAGTGACCACATGACCCGACAAGTGCAGCTAGTGACCACATGACCCGACAAGTGCAGCTAGTGACCACATCACCCGACAAGTCTAGTGGCAAATGCCCAATACAAAATGGAATGTGGAAAATGCCCCTTTACTTTTGTTTTCAATCTTCCCCTTTGATTAAAAGCTAACCAACGATGTTTAACTGCCCCCCCCCCCCCCCCCCGCCCGAAACTTATCTCCAGGTTTAAATTTGGTTTGACATCCTTTTGATCTAAACTTCTTGTATTACTACACAGTGCTATATAATCGTGGGTGCTGCAGTAATGTTGTGGCTAGATGCCCAAAGGTCGTGGGTTTAAATCTGCAACAAGCGATTTAAAAAAAAGACTTTGGCTTCCACGTCGACCCAGTCTAAAATGGCAACTGTGTAGTCCTGGAAAGTAAAGGCGTCCGGTGTGATGCTGACAACAACTTTTACTGACTGCTAATTGGTCTATAAAATCTAAATGTAAAAAAAAAAAAAAAAAAAAACGCTGTTTCCTTGAAAGTAGTGAGAATACTAGCTGTGTTGCAGTTTATCTATATAAACAACAGCAGTGCATAATTTAACCAAACAGCGCCAGATGACATCGAAGTAAACAATTGCTGTGCTAAAATTTTTAGTGAAAAAACCCTAACTGCAAAACAGAAATGTTTGTATGTTGTTGGCTCAAGTTCTGTCTACAGCACTGCGATTTTTTAATGAAATAATCCTGAGTGTGACCTGCAACAAAGAGATAAATGCATGTCGTAGATTTCAACTATTCACGACCCAGCGGTTTTTGTGGCCTTGTCGCTCTTTGGTCCACTATCTGTGTGTGTGTCAACGATCAAATGCGTCAGGCTTGGAAGCAGCCTGCAGGGCTTCAAGGTTGCAGAGAAGAAGCAGAAGATTGGCTATCAGAGACTAGCGACTTTACCGAACTCAAACAGGACAAATCTAGCGGGAGTATCTCCCGATAAATACTGTTTATATTTATTAAGTGGACAGCTAAGTTTATATTGTGTGTTTGTATTTTAGGGGATACAGTGGTAAGTTGCATATCAAGAAACCAAAGTAGGATTGTGTCTGTTGGTTATTTTACTAGACAGTCTGACTTTCAGGTGTTTGCCATTGCTCTCTGAACAGCGCAACTCGAATACCGTTTAAAAAATGCAGCACAATGTTGGCAGTTGTCGAATTGCTCAGTGAAACGGAGAAAAGGGAGAAATGCAGGGCATATGTCGCTTGTACTACACAGGCAGTGAGCCCTAGAAATGCATTCACTGTTGACAAACTCAGGGCATATGTCGCTTGTGCTACACAGACAGTGAGCCCTAGACATGCATTCACTGTTGACAAACTCAGGGCATATTTCAGTTGTACTACACAGACAGTGAGCCCTAGAAATGCATTCACTGTTGACAAACTCAGGGCATATTTCAGTTGTACTACACAGACAGTGAGCCCTAGAAATGCATTCACTGTTGACAAACTCAGGGCATATTTCAGTTGTACTACACAGACAGTGAGCCCTAGAAATGCATTCACTGTTGACAAACTCAGGGCATATTTCAGTTGTACTACACAGACAGTGAGCCCTAGAAATGCATTCACTGTTGACAAACTCAGGGCATTTTTCAGTTGTGCTACACAGGCAGTGAGCCCTAGAAATGCATTCACTGTTGACAAACTCAGGGCATATTTCAGTTGTACTACACAGACAGTGAGCCATAGAAATGCATTCACTGTTGACAAACTCAGGGCATTTTTCAGTTGTGCTACACAGGCAGTGAGCCCTAGAAATGCATTCACTGTTGACAAACTCAGGGCATATTTCGCTTGTGCTACACAGGCAGTGAGCCCTAGAAATGCATTCACTGTTGACAAACTCAGGGCATATTTCGGTTGTGCTACATAAATGACCTTGGCTCTCAGGTCGACCCAGCCGTGAGTGGGTGTCTGGTGCAGTCTTGGAAAGTAAAAGCGGCCGGCATGACGCTGATCACTTCACCCACCAATATTTTATTGTTCTATAAAATATAGGTCTAGCCCTTTGCTTCATTCGTGAAAGATAAAATGGCGTTATAGAATCAATAAAAGATAGCTTAAGGAGAGAAACCAATACATTGAAACGAATCAGTAGCTGAGGAAAAGACAACGAGCATTGGATAGCACCTTCGTCGAGAGAGAATCTGATAATATAACTAGAATGTCGTGACACTGAAACTCACAGGGTAAAAGAATACAGGGAGACCTAAAATTACATGGACAAAATAGTCAGAGGAAGAGATAAATAATGTGGAAAGATGTGGGGAAGCTGCTAGAATGACAGAAGGGGAATATAAAGGTGGGAGAAGAAGTAGGGTGGGAAGAAGATGGGTGTGAAGAAGAGGAAGAAGAAGAAGAAGAAGAGGAGGAAGAAGAAGAAGAAGAAGAAGAAGAAGAAGAAGAAGAAGAAGAAGAAGAAGAAGAAGAAGAAAAAAAAAAAAAAAAGAAAAAATGAGGGGTAGAAGCGGAAGACGACGAAGGAGAAAAGCTCAGCTGTGTAAAAAAAAAAAAAAAATTGACATAACACAAAACCGTAATTTATTATTGGCGTCTACAGTTGAAGAACTCGTTTATCGCCAGCTTGAAATCTACTGGTTAAACAGCTTTAGTCCTATATTGTTTGTATTGATCACCACAGTCGAAGCAATAGATTCAGTATCTAGCCCATTTAGTAAACCTCTTGGGACATTCTATAGAAGTCCCGAGGGACATACTCAAATCAACAGAAAAACCAGGGAGGTTTGGGGTGGGGGAGGGGGGGGGGAGGTTGGGGGGGGGGGGGGAATTTAAATGTTCACAAATGTTTACGTCAACTAAGCAGGAAAACACGCCGACAGTCTCTCAGGATACTCAGTCGTCTACAAAAGGTTAAATAATTTACATATTTGATATTAAATAACAAACGCAGACACAGAGGCAGATGTGACACATACAGGCATAGAGAGGGGCGTCAAGTGGCAGATGTGACACATACAGGCATAGAGAGGGGCGTCAAGTGGTAGATGTGACACATACAGGCATAGAGAGGGGCGTCAAGTGGCAGATGTGACACATACAGGCATAGAAAGGGGCGTCAAGTGGCAGATGTGACACATAAAGGCATAGAAAGGGGCGTCAAGTGGCAGATGTAACACATAAAGGCATAGAAAGGGGCGTCAAGTGGCAGATGTGACACACACAGGCATACAGGTGGATGTCGCACGCTGGTTCTCTGCTCTATATAATGAACGATAGGCTAGTTAAATAGCTTAAATCACCACCAGAAACACACACGTTCTCAAAATCACCACCAGAAAAACACACGTTCTCAAAATCACCTCCAGAAACACACACGTTCTCAAAATCGCACTAGAAACACACACGTTCTCAAAATCACCACCAGAAACACACACGTTCTCAAAATCACCACCAGAAACACACATGTTCTCAAAATCACCACCAGAAACACACACGTTCTCAAAATCACCACCAGAAACACACATGTTCTCAAAATCACCACTACCATTTGTTTCTGGCTATTGTATCACTGGCTCTTAAAACTGTTTAATATCGGAATAGTTATTTTCAAAGGTTGCCTTTGTTGCCAAGACTGATCAGCGGTAAACCTTATACACCTTTCATGTTGCCACGTACACGACAGGCGGTGCTTGTCTCGTCTACAGGAACCAGGATGGTGTGGTGGTTATCAGTCCTCGCGGTAGCAGCTGTGGTCGCTGTTGTCGTGTGGCTCGTCGCCCTGGCCAGGTCAGACGGAGACTTGCTGCTCATGTTCAAAGCCAAATATGGCAAGCAGCCAGGTAATTTAGCAGTTCTCTTGAGTGTTTCAGTTTACGATTCTCTCTCACGAAGAGGTTGTGTCTGTTGGAAATGAAATGCATAAAATACACATGCAAAATAACCAACCTAGGTTAGTCGCGTATCCTTTACAGGACGTCGCAGAACCAACACCAACAGCCCCTGGCTGTTGTGTAACCAGCCTAGACATAGAGATAATTTCATTGAATCTGTGGTGTTTCCCCCATCAAGTAGACATAACCCGAACAAAAATTCTCGTATGATTTGTTTGTCAGGAAGCTTGCAGTACAAGCCTATCCCAAACACACGCTGGCGGATTTCATTCATCGAATCAAAGGGAAGTTTTAATTGATGAATGTAAAAATACCTGAATAAATTTAGATTCTTGTTGTTCAAATCACGTGGATTTATATACCTGGAAGAAAAAACGTAGACATTGTTACATGCAAAAAGGCATCCCCTGCAAATAAACCATACAGCGCCTCTTAGTGCAAACAATGATATACAACTCCATCTTCCGTCCTGAAATCACAAGCTTTAATTATTGAAGACTGTTAAACACGGGCGGGTCTTGCTAGTCACACTCGCCATCGCCATAGGCTTCCTCATCGCACGTTATAACTCTATCATCCAAAAAGACATAAATGTGCCAGGATGTTTACTACAACACCAGGGATTGCGCAAGAAACACAAGAATACGACTGATTCTAGAGGTATAAAACAATCTGGTGCGTAATTAATAGGTACATCATCATGATGTAGCAGGTCCTTTGCAGAACGTCGCTCTCATCACGGTCTGGCTGAAAGAAACGAGGTCTCTCGCCAGTTCTCCCGCCTCATGTACTTTCATCACTTATATCCTGTGTCCATCTTTATGTTGGTCTGCCCTGCCCCTCCTTCCTGGTACCATGCCTTCTACTATAATTTTTTCTATTCCGTCGTGGCGCTTGATATGACCAAAATATTTCAGCTTCTGAGACAGGATGCTGTTTTTTAGCCAATCTTTCTTTATGTTCAGATCTAATAGGTATATGCAAGTTAATATTGTGTAGGCATGAATCCAACTGTGTAAATGCATTGGTTAGCATCAAGGAAGATTTTCAGTGACATGAAAACATGAGATTTGTACATAAACCAGACATTTGACAAGAAGAAAACTGTTTTAAAAACGGCGTATTGACTCTTAGACATAAATATTTTATATATGAAGAAGGTTGCAGTTGTTTATGTGCTCTTGCATGTGCTGTGCCGTCGCCGTTGGGTGGGATATCCTGGCCCTGGGCGACTGGCGTGATCCGAATCTGAAGCTAAAACGGTCCTTCTCGCGCTGGAAACTTTTTATAACCTCTTGATCCCCGTGCATGCCAGATTTTTTCGCAAGTAAAGCTAAACTAAAATAATCAACAGCTCTTGAGTACCCTGCCACAATAATAATTTAAATAAATGAATAAATACATTGTGTAAACGCAAGTTATAGAAAATGAGCGGAATTATCCACTCATAGGGCAAATGAACAGGTGTGGGTAGAGACACAGTGGATCTGGGGCCCACATGTGGCGTGCGAAGGGGGGGGGGGAGAGGAGAAACCCAAGGCCCCTGTAAACAAGTATATCGTAAATGCAAACTAATTAGAGTGTTTCCTTTGAAGTTGGACTCCATCTGCATTAGGGACAGGGAACCTACAGCCTGCATGCAAAAAGCTACATCTGTGAAACGGATGTGTACTCAAACTAAACTCAAGTTCTGGAACAATACTGAAATCCAAACGTGGACGAACAACCAAAACTTTCCCCTGGATTTTACAGCTGATGAACGCAATAAACACACACACACACACACACACACACACACACACACACACACACACACACAACAGACGGTTAATTGTTTCCAACTATTTACAGACAGTCTAGCAGGAAAGGTTGTGTGGATCACTGGGGCATCAGGGGGGATTGGGGAATACATCGCTTACTGTTTGGCCGAGGCTGGGGCCAGGCTGGTTCTGTCCGCTCGCAGAACTGAGGAACTGGAGAAGGTCAAGCAGAAATGTCTAGAGCGAGGTCAGTTGCTAGTTTCTTGTCATACAAAGTTGAACTAAATGTAACGTGAATGACATTCTTTTCTGTAGTCTTAGAGTCAGGGTTTGAAGAGGCATCGGATGAGAGCTTTGATGTGTGCTGCCAATATGATGATATTCACGGCTCAGAATTTTCCATCTATCCATTACTTGCGTGGAATACCTCTAGATTGTTTTCGTTGTGTCTGAAAGAGCAGGAATCACGAAACAAATATTGCTGTACATCCATCGCAAATGATAAGCACTATTCTTTTCTTCATCCATCGAGACACAATAGCTGACTGTCTGTGAGTCCAGGGGTCACTTTTAAGCCTACTACGGGCCCAGAACGATCTAAGACAGTCGCCTCAAATTTTCTTCAGGTGGCACCCCCGTGAGTTACATGTCCCCTACGCAACGCCACCGCCCCCATCCCAGTATAATAAAATGTGATTCAGAAGCTTTGGAAAAAAATCACAAACACTGTTAACAAGAACATAGAGAAAAACATGCACATCATTCAAAGTGTCAAATAAACATTCATCAATATCTGGTAATTTCATGTCCGAATATAAATGTAATGATTGACAATGTTTTGTTTTGATGATATCTGCCATTCTTATTTTCTGATGTTGGACAAGGCAAAGGGGAGATGAGTCTCCACATAAGGTTAGCAGCGCTGTTTTGTTTTGACAACTGTCAAAGCTGACAATCTTCACTATTGCAAGTACAAATGAACCCAAGTTTTAAAAACTGTATGTGTAGATAAAGGGCCCGTTATAACCGGCCTTACTAGTTTGCCTGCGCTGTTCAGCTGCAGTATCTCTGATGTCTCGCAAGACAAAACTGTTATAATCGCGGAGACTATCAACAAATATAAACAAATATAGCGTATCCTTTACAGGACTTTGCAGAACCAACCCTAACAGCCCCTGGCTGTTGTGTGGTTTCTCTAGGCAAGTTACATCCAGTAGTTTGCCATTGCCTCTGGACGGTCGGCTTTCTTGATACCACTGTCGAAACCAACGCAAGGCACATTGCCCGCAGCTGGGATCGAATCTGGCATCCCGGCATTACGAAGCGAAGCCTTCGCATCGAGTTAGCCACAGAGCCGACATAAACAAATATACTCTACAATAATATGCAACAAGAAGAAGTAATACGCAGAATCCTAAACCCTTAAAAGCTCAACTAATTTAAAAAAAAAAAAAAAAACGGACACATACACGTCATCATCACGTGTTGGAAAACTAAAATACTTGAAACATGTTGTTGTGGTTTAGGGAGAACAGTGGGAGTCATTTCCTAGAGAAAGAGGCAGGGTTCGACTAGCAGTAAGCCAAAGCCAGGACAGTCCAGTCCGGTTGTTAGAGAACAAATACATCTGGACATGTTACAAGATATGGACATTGATACAAACAAAGAAGAACAACTGAACTGTAACAAAAGTCCCATTAGTGCCAGCAATGTAAAGACTCGAGTTACATTCACCGACAAGACAACCAGGGACCAGGGCAGCCTCATGAAAATGGCGTGCCGAAAAATATATGGGAAGGCAAGGCGCCAGGACCTGGTTATCACATTTCATTATGTAGCCTCAGCTGCGTAAAAACATAAAACTGCTCACCTCAGAGGCATTCTTCTTCTTCTGTCTTTTTAATTCCAAATGGAGCATAGGAGCATAGGCCCTCGATCAACTCACACCAAGTCGTCCTATCCTTTGCTATCGCATGCCGCCCTCCCCCTAATTTTTTTTACTTGGAGGGGGGGGGGGGGGCTCTTCCTTTATTTCATTGCTCCTGTGTGTTCCAGTGCCAAGAAATTCTAGTTAACTCGTTCTCATGTTTTCTCAATGTGTGTTCTATTCAACGCCAGCGTCTTTTCTTCCCCTTTCCTCCTCTGGAACTTGTTTAGTTCTCTCCCAAAGCACTTCATTAGTGAATCTATCATACAATTTAATACCCTTTATTCTGCACAGGCACCAATTAATGAATGTTTGTTTATTAGTAACCGCATTAGTTGTTCTCCATACAACAGTACTGTTTAGACATAAGAACTAAAGAATATAAGTTTAATATTAGTTATATTTTTTTTTTTACCTCCACAAAAACCCTAATTCTCTGAAAGCTCCTCTTGCCTTTTGTGTTCGTATTTAAATATCTCTATGAGATCCCCATCTATATCTATACTTACTGCCCAAACAGATGTACGACTCCACGCCTTCCAGTGGGATACCGTTAAGAGAAACCATATTACTATTTGCCTGTTTTATTCTCATTATCTTCGTCGTTACTTCATGAATTTTTAGACCAAGCTGCTGTGATCTCGCATCAAGTTTATGTAATTTATTTTGCATTTTGAGTAAGACAGAAGAGAAATACCATCAGCGAAGTCCAGATCATCAAGATAGCCACTTTCTGTCCTCCCGGGTCAGTGTGATCATAACTCTACACAAACCTGACTGTTCCGCTGGCTCTTTGAGCCACTTCTCTCCTCGCCCAATGTTCTTCAGCTTGGAGACCTGTCTGATTGTGTCGTCTGCCTGAGCCATCCCTGACTTCACTCTTATCAGCCGCCGACCCTTAACTGCGTCCAGAGGTTTGTGAAAAGGATTAGCCGTGTCTGCAGCTACACTGAGACATCCTGGCCAGCAGCACCTTGTGACTACCTGCAACCGTTGGCAAACCAAGGATGTATCGCATACACACCACTGGGGTGTCTCTGGTGCAACCCAGAATGACCCGTATAGCTGCGTTCTGTATGCGCTCTAGTTTAACCAAGTGACTCTTTGAGATAGTAAACAGTCATATTCCATAATCAATTACTGAAAGTATCAGGTGCTGCTGTGTGAAAAGCATTCTCTGCTTTGTGTCCATTGAGTCTTTTTTGGCATCTTGTCACAACTCTCTCCACATAGTCCTTGAAGTACAGGCTCCTGTCAAATGCGAAATGTGAAATGTGATTCCCAAATACTTAAGTTTGCTCTCTCACTGTTTATGTTTCCACCATCTATCGTGAGACATGGGACCACACAAAGATGCCTTTTCTGGGTGGAGGACAGCGCTCATTTCCGAACACCAGTCAATCACGTTGTCTACTGTCGATCGTAGCTCTCGGGCTGTTGTTCCGTCTCCACCTGCCTATATGCAAGCATATCATCTGCAAATGTCAGCATCCTTCCAACTCCTAGTCCATCTATACACGTTAAAGAGCACAGGCGATATGGTGGATCCCTGTGACCGTCCAGGGGCTACACTGCATGGTTCTGAGGTCCATGAACCCAGACGGAACACTCGACTCGAATACAGGACAGCTGCAACTCAGTTCACCCAACAGGGACTGACCTCCTTCTCCACCAGAGCGGTCATCAAAATGTCGTATATCACTTTGTTACAAACATACTTGAAATCCAGTGCTGCCGTCATCGTTTCCTGTTTCTTCTAATTTCCAGAGAGATACCCTAGCAATGCTGTCAAAAGCTTTTTTAATAGTCTATAAATTCAATGTAAAGTACTTAGTTCATTTCTATGCTTTCTTTAGTATTATTCGTAACGTAGCTTTCTGGTCAGTACGGAATCTGAGAGAAACCTGAGTGTTCATCTCTTAGCTTTTAATCAATAGCACCTTTTAATCTTTCAAAAATTATTCTACATAATATTTTTACAGGAACTGACAGCAACATAATTCCTCTATAGTGTTTATACTCCTGTAGATCACCTTTTTTGGGCAGTTTCACAAGATATCCTTCTCTCCAGTCTGCTGGTATTACTTCGGTCTCCCAGATTTTACTGAATAACCTGTGCAGCAATTCAGTTTATGTAATTATATTGGCCTTATAACTTCTGCTGGGATACTATCTGGACCTGCCATCATCCTTCCTTCAGAAGATTGATAGTTTTTCTTTTTTAGCTTCTGTGTATTTTTGCTGAGCTCCAGCTTTAGCAGCTCTAGTTTTGCTATTGTTTAAGTCTTCTTTTTCCCTTTTCCTTTCTTCTACTATTGTAATGGTTTCTAGTGTTATCCACTCTTTATGTTTTTGTTCCCTCTTCACAAGAACTTCTACACAAGATTCATTCCTGATTCCCTTGATCTAATCCCAGCTTACATCTTCAGCTAACTGCTACAACACCTGGTACTTATTAGAGACTGCAACTGAAAATTGTTGCTTAACTTCTTTATTCCTGAGATAACCTACATTATACTGGTTTCTATGATTATAGGATGTATATCTTTTTAGTTTCAACTTGATTTTTCTTAACAATAGAAAAAGCCAGTAAATACATCGGTACCTCTTAAAGCCCTTACATCAGAAATGTGTGTCTGACTGTCTGTCTATATGCATATCTATCCATCTATGCACACAGGCACCCATATACAGACATATTGTTTATTCAGTGCATCACACAGACACACAAGCGCACCCCTCCCCTTTCCACACGCACATACAAACACATACAAATATTTCCTGCGACATTTGTTCTATTTGTTATATTTTGTCACATCCAGGGAAAGACAAGATTACAGAGAGCGATATTTTGGTTTTACCGTTGGATGTTGTCGCATTCGATACCCATAAGGCAGCAGTGCAGAAAGTTCTGGACACATTCAATAAGGTATTTTCTGCCTAACTGCAACTACCCATTTGTGAGTTATTTTACCAACGGCATTTTCTACATAATTCCAACTACCCATGTGTTAAGTATTTCACTAAAAGTATTCGCTTCATTCCGACTACCCATGTGTGGAGTATTTCACGAAAGGTATTTCTTACATAATTCTAGCTGCTTATATACTGAGTATTTCACACAGAATACCATCACTTAGGTGTTGAGTATTTCACACAGAATACCATCCACGTAGGTGTTGAGTATTTCACACAGAATACCATCCACTTAGGGCTGCGTATTTCACACCGAATACCATCCACTTAGGTGTTGAGTATTTCACACAGAATACCATCCACGTAGGTGTTGAGTATTTCACACAGAATACCATCCACTTAGGGCTGCGTATTTCACACCGAATACCATCCACTTAGGTATTGAGTACTTCACACAGAATACCATCCACTTAGATGTTGAGAATTTCACATAAAATACCATCTACTTAGGTGTTGAGTATCTCACACAGAATACCATCTACTTAGGGGCTGAGTATCTCACACCGAATACCATCCACTTAGGTGTTGAGTATCTCACACAGAATACCTTCCACTTAGGTGTTGAGTATTCTACACAGAATACCATCCACTTAGGTATTGAGTATTTCACACAGAATACCATCTACTTAGATGTTGAGTATTTCACACAGAATACCATCCATTTAGGTGTTGAGTATCTCACACAGAATACCATCCACTTAGATGTTGAGTTTTTCACCCCGAATACCATTAACTTAGGTGTTGAGTATTTCACACAAAATACCATCCACTTAGGTATTGAGTATTTCACACAAAATACCATCCACTTAGGTGCTGAAGATTTCACACCGAATACCATCCACTTAGGTGTTGAGTATTTCACACAGAATACCTTCCACTTAGGTGCTGAGTATTTCACACAGAATACCATCACTTAGGTGTTGAGTATCTCACACAGAATACCATTCACTTAGGTGTTGAGTATTTCACACAAAATACCATCCACTTAGGTGTTGAGTATTTCACACAGAATACCATCACTTAGGTGTTGAGTATCTCACACAGAATACCATCACTTAGGTGTTGAGTATCTCACACAGAATACCATCACTTAGATGTTGAGTATTTCACACAGAATACCATCCACTTAGGTGTTGTATTTCACACAAAATACCTTCCACTTAGGTGCTGAGTATTTCACACAGAATACCATCACTTAGGTGTTGAGTATCTCACACAGAATACCATCCACTTAGGTGTTGAGTATTCTACACAGAATAAAATCCATTTAGGTATTGAGTATTTCACACAGAATACCATCCACTCAGATGTTGAGTATTTCACACAGAATAACATCCACTTAGGTGTTGAGTATCTCACACAGAATACCATCCACTTAGATGTTGAATATTTCACACCGAATACCATCCACTTAGGTGTTGAGTATTTCACACAAAATACCATCCACTTAGGTGCTCAGTATTTCACACAAAATACCATCCACTTAGATGCTGAAGATTTGACACCGAATACCATCCACTTAAGTGCTGAGTATTTCACACAGAATACCATTGACTTAGGTGTTGAGTATTTCACACAGAATACCATCCACTTAGGTGCTGAGTATTTCACACAGAATACCATCCACTTAGGTGTTGAGTATTTCACACAGAATACCATCCACTTAGGTATTGAGTATTTCACACAGAATACCATCCACTTAGGTGTTGCGTATTTCACACAGAATACCATCCACTTAGGTGTTGAGTATTTCACACAGAATACCGTCCACTTAGATGTTGAGTATTTCACACCGAAAACCATCCACTTAGGTGTTGAGTATTTCACACAAAATACCATCCACTTATTTGTTGAGTATTTCACGCAAAATACCACACACTTAGGTTTTGAGTATTTCACACAAAATACCATCCACTTATTTGTTGAGTATTTCACGCAAAATACCACACACTTAGGTGTTGAGTATTTCACACAAAATACCATCCACTTATTTGTTGAGTATTTCACGCAAAATACCACACACTTAGGTGTTGAGTATTTCACGCAAAATACCACACACTTAGGTGTTGAGTATTTCACACAAAATACCACACACTTAGGTGTTGAGTATTTCACGCAAAATACCACACACTTAGGTGTTGAGTATTTCACACAAAATACCATCCACTTATTTGTTGAGTATTTCACGCAAAATACCACACACTTAGGTGTTGAGTATTTCACGCAAAATACCACACACTTAGGTGTTGAGTATTTCACACAAAATACCACACACTTAGGTGTTGAGTATTTCACACAAAATACCACACACTTAGGTGTTGAGTATTTCGTCAACAGTATTTTTCACAGATTTCCAACTAAATATGTGTTGAGTATTTCACCAAAGGTACTGCCTACAGAATACCATCTACTTAGGTGTTGAGTATTTCATCAAAGGTACTGCCTACAGAATACCATCTACTTAGGTGTTGAGAATTTCATCAAAGGTACTGCCTACAGAATACCATCTACTTAGGTGTTGAGTATTTCACCAAAGGTACTGCCTACAGAATACCATTTACTTACGTGTTGAGTATTTCATCAAAGGTACTGCCTACAGAATACCATCTACTTAGGTGTTGAGTATTTCATCAAAGGTACTGCCTACAGAATACCATCTACATAGGTGTTGAGTATTTCATCAAAGGTACTGCCTACAGAATACCATCTACTTAGGTGTTGAGTATTTCACCAAAGGTACTGCCTACAGAATACCATCTACTTACGTGTTGAGTATTTAACCAAAGGTACTGCCTACAGAATACCATCTACTTAGGTGTTGAGTATTTATCAAATTTACTGCCTACAGAATACCATCTACTTATGTGTTGAGTATTTCACCAAAGGTACTGCCTACAGAATACCATCTACTTAGGTGTTGAGTATTTCATCAAAGGTACTGCCTACAGAATACCATCTACTTACGTGTTGAGTATTTCACCAAAGGTACTGCCTACAGAATACCATCTACTTAGGTGTTGAGTGTTTCATCAAAGGTACTGCCTACAGAATACCATCTACTTAGGTGTTGAGTATTTCACCAAAGGTACTGCCTACAGAATACCATCTACTTAGGTGTTGAGTATTTCATCAAAGGTACTGCCTACAGAATACCATCTACTTAGGTGTTGAGTATTTCATCAAAGGTACTGCCTACAGAATACCATCTACTTAGGTGTTGAGTATTTCACCAAAGGTACTGCCTACAGAATACCATCTACTTAGGTGTTGAGTATTTCACCAAAGGTACTGCCTACAGAATACCATCTACTTAGGTGTTGAGTATTTCATCCAAGGTACTGCCTACAGAATACCATCTACTTAGGTGTTGAGTATTTCACCAAAGGTACTGCCTACAGAATACCATCTACTTATGTGTCTCCGTGAACAGTTTAACTGGATGGTCCTTGGAGTCAGTAACTGTCTCCGTGAACAGTTTAACTGGATGGTCCTTAGCCTCAGTAACTGCCTCCGTGAACAGATAACTGGATGGTCCTTGGCGTCAGTAACTGTCTCCGTGAACAGTTTAACTGGATGGTCCTTGGCGGCAGTAGCTGTCTCCGTGAACAGTTTAACTGGATGGTCCTTGTCGTCAGTAACTGTCTCCGTGAACAGTTTAACTGGATGGTCCTTGGCGTCAGTAACTGTCTCCGTGAACAGTTTAACTGGATGGTCCTTGGCGTCAGTAACTGTCTCTGTGAACAGTTTAACTGGGTGGTCCTTGGCGTCATTAACTGTCTCCGTGAACAGTTTAACTGGATGGTCCTTGGCGTCAGTAACTGTCTCCGTGAACAGTTTAACTGGATGGTCCTTGGCGTCAGTAACTGTCTCCGTGAACAGTTTAACTGGATGGTCCTTGGCGTCAGTAACTGTCTCTGTGAACAGTTTAACTGGGTGGTCCTTGGCGTCATTAACTGTCTCCGTGAACAGTTTAACTGGATGGTCCTTGGCGTCAGTAACTGTCTCTGTGAACAGTTTAACTGGATGGTCCTTGGCGTCAGTAACTGTCTCCGTGAACAGTTTAACTGGATGGTCCTTGGCGCCAGTAGCTGTCTCCGTGAACAGTTTAACTGGATGGTCCTTGGCGTCAGTAACAATCACCGTGAACAGTTTAACTGGATGGTCCTTGGCGTCAGTAGCTGTCTCCGTGAACAGTTTAACTGGGTGGTCCTTGGCGTCAGTAGCTGTCTCCGTGAAGAGTTTAACAGGGTGGTCCTTGGCGTCAGTAACTGTCACCGTGAACAGTTTAACTGGGTGGTCTAGCTCGAGGATCCTCATTGCCAGAATGCTGGTTCCAGAGATCTGCTCAATAAAATCTGTCGGGTACCAGGACTGCTAGGGCCGGCCACTGGCAAAGAACAATCAGGCTTTATTAATTAACCAGGACAAAAACATAGGGACTGCTTGTACAGAGTTCACAGCTAATTGGCGTTTATGCTTCTGCTCTTGGCTATTTGTCAATGTATCACTGACCACTCTACCATTTATATCATGTTTTAGTTGTACTTCATTGTAATCATGCTACATGCGTTTGATTGTCCACCTGTGAACACACACGTGCCTCACTCTGTGATCATGCTACATGCGTTTGATTGTCCACCTGTAAACACACGTGCTTCCCTCTGTGATCATGCTACATGCGTTTGATTGTCCACCTGTGAACACACACGTGCTTCCCTCTGTGATCATGCTACATGCGTTTGATTGTCCACCTGTGAACACACACTTGCTTCCCTCTGTGATCATGCTACATGTGTTTGATTGTCCACCTGTGAACACACACTTGCTTCCCGCTGTCATCATGCTACATGTGTTTGATTGTCCACCTGTGAATACACACCTGCTTCCCTCTGTGATCATGCTACATGCGTTTGATTGTCCACCTGTGAACACACACGTGCTTCCCTCTGTGATCATGCTACATGCGTTTGATTGTCCACCTGGGTACACACACCTGCTTCCCGCTGTGGTCATGCTACATGTGTTTGATTGTCTACCTGTGAACACACACGTGCTTCCCGCTGTGGTCATGCTACATGTGTTTGATTGTCCACCTGTGAACACACACTTGCTTCCCTCTGTGATCATGCTACATGTGTTTGACTGTCCACCTGTGAACACACACGTGCTTCCCTCTGTGATCATGCTACATGTGTTTGATTGTCCACCTGTGAACACACACGTGCTTCCCTCTGTAATCATGCTACATGCGTTTGATTGTCCACCTGTGAACACACACGTGCTTCCCTCTGTGATCATGCTACATGTGTTTGATTGTCCACCTGTGACACACACACGTGCTTCCCTCTGTGATCATGCTACATGCGTTTGATTGTCCACCTGTGAACACACACGTGCTTCCCTCTGTGATCATGCTACATGTGCTTGATTGTCCACCTGTGAACACACACGTGCTTCCCTCTGTGATCATGCTACATGCGTTTGATTGTCCACCTGGGTACACACACCTGCTTCCCGCTGTGGTCATGCTACATGTGTTTGATTGTCCACCTGTGAACACACACGTGCTTTCCGCTGTGGTCATGCTACATGTGTTTGATTGTCCACCTGTGAATACACACCTGCTTCCCGCTGTGGTCATGCTACATGTGTTTGATTGTCCACCTGTGAATACACACCTGCTTCCCGCTGTGGTCATGCTACATGTGTTTGATTGTCCACCTGTGAACACACACGTGCTTCACTCTGTGATCATGCTACATGTGTTTGACTGTCCACCTGTGAACACACACGTGCTTCCCTCTGTGATCATGCTACATGTGTTTGATTGTCCACCTGTGAACACACACGTGCTTCCCTCTGTGATCATGCCACATGTGTTTGATTGTCCACCTGTGAATACACACCTGCTTCCCGCTGTGGTCATGCTCCATGTGTTTGATTGTCCACCTGTGAACACACACTTCCTTCCCTCTGTGATCATGCTACATGTGTTTGATTGTCCACCTGTGAACACACATTTGCTTCCCTCTGTGATCATGCTACATGTGTTTGATTGTCTACCTGTGAATACACACCTGCTTCCCGCTGTGGTCATGCTACATGTATTTGATTGTCCACCTGGGTACACACACGTGCTTCCCTCTGTGGTCACAACATGGACTACCAGATCGATATCCTCATTAACAACGCTGGGCGGAGTCAGAGGTCACCATGGATGGAGGTGGAGCTGGATGTGGATCGTGAACTGTTTGAGCTGAATGTTCTGGGACCTGTGTCTCTGACACAGCAGGTGTTGCCTCACATGATAGACAGGAAGCAGGGACAGATTGTGGTCATCAGTAGCTTGGTGGGCAAGATTGGTGAGTTGTTGTTGTTGTTGTTTTTACTGTTGTTGTTGTTTTTACTGTTGTTGCTTTTTTGTTGTTGTTTTTAGTTTGGTTGTTGTTGTTTTTATTGTTGTTGTGGTTTTCATTGTTGTTGTTTTTATAATTTTTTTTATTGTTGTTGTTTTTATTGTTGTTGTTGTTTTTATTGTTGTTGTTGTTTTTATTGTTGTTGTTGTTTTTTATCGTTGTTGTTGTTTTCATTGTTGTTGTTGTTTTTATTGTTGTTGTTTTTAGTTTTGTTGTTGTTGTTTTTATTGTTGTTGTTGTTTTCATTGTTGTTGCTTTTATTATTTTTTTATTGTTGTTGTTGTTTTTATTGTTGTTGTTTTTATTGTTGTTGTTGTTTTTATTATTGTTGTTCTTTTTCTTTGTTGTTGTTTTTATTGTTGTTGTTTTTATTGTTGTTGTTGTTTTTATTGTTGTTGTTGTTTTTATTGTTGTTGTTTTTAGTTTTGTTGTTGTTGTTTTTATTGTTGTTGTTGTTTTCATTGTTGTTACTTTATTTTTTTTTATTGTTGTTGTTGTTTTTATTGTTGTTGTTGTTTTTATTGTTGTTGTTGTTTTTATTATTATTGTTGTTTTTATTGTTGTTGTTGTTTTTATTATTGTTGTTTTTATTGTTGTTGTTTTTATTGTTGTTGTTGTTTTTATTGTTTTTATTGTTATTGTTGATGTTGTTTACTCTTATGTGCCTGCTCCTGGGAAAACAATGAAATGGCTTCATGACACACACACACACACACACACACACATACATACACACCAAGAAGATGACCCTTTTTTGGGGATATCTTGAGAAAAAGCGAACACAGAATCACCAGATAAACTAAACGGGAAACAGATAACACAGAAACACGAGATAATTTAAACGGGAAACAGCGAACACAGAATCCCCAGATAAACTAAACATGAACCAGCGAACACAGAATCACCAGATCAGCTAAACGGAAAATTGCGACACAGAGTCAAGAAGAAAACTAAACGGGAAACAGCGAATACAGAATCACCAGATACACAAAACGGGAAACAGCGAACAAAGAATCACCAGATAAACTAAACTAATCAATAGATTAGACATAAAACATAAAGCGCCGAAAACATTAGAGCAGAGAAACATCCACGCTAACTGCCACACTTCATGATGATGATAATAGTGTACTTTGGTATCCCCAGGTTCGCCCTATGTCAGATCTTACACCGGCTCCAAACACGCCGTGCACGTGAGTAATTCTCTATAGTACACAATGATGAGTTGTTGTGCTAGCCTTTTAGCCTGGAGGGAATACTTCAATGAGCTCTTGAATCCTCTAGGAGATTATCAGGAAAGAACAACTGAAGAGCACAGAGCAACAGTGTTAGAACCACACATACTAACAGATGAAATAGAAAGTCATTAAACAGTCTCCCAAATATAAAGCACCAGGAGCTGATAGATTACCAACAGAAATAATTCAAGCAGCAGGTAAAAGCAGCATCAGATGGCTTCACAGAATATTCAATGCAGCATGGGTACAACAAACGGCCCCTATTGATTGGCAACATGCAATAGTTATACCATTGTGGAAGAACAAAGGAAGCAAACGAGAATGCGGTCAATATCAAGGCATCTCTCTTTTAAGCCATGTTGGCAAAATGTATGCCAAGATAATAGAAACATGACTGAGACCAGTGATAGAACCACAGCTGGTAGAAGAACAGATGGGATTTAGGAGAAATAGAAGCTGCACAGATGCAATCTTCACACTTAAACAGTTAATAGAAAAGAACATTGAATACAATAAGAACTTATTTGTGGCATTCGTAGACCAGGAGAAGGCATTTGACAGAGTCGACCGACAATTATTATGGAAAATAATGGCACGATATGGAGTAAGCGAACACCTCATCGAAGTGTGCAAAAGTTTATACAGGGATTGTAGAAGTGTAGTTAGAATAAATCAGGGAACATCTCATCCTTTCACAGTGACATCTGGAGTAAGACAGGGGTGTGTCTTATCACCACTGCTGTTTATCACCTACATCGACAGTATATGCAAGAATGCCAAGCCCATGAATGAAGATCTTAGTAAGATCAACGAATTACATTTTGCAGATGACCAGGCCTTGATAGCAGATACAGCCATGAAATTGCAACAACATCTAACATCCATGAATGAAGAATGTAAAACAAATAATATGAGAATCAACACTGAAAGGACAGAAGTAATGTCAATAGGAAAAAAGAAGACAGATGTAAACATAGCAATAGAATACAAAGGCATTAAACAGGCATCTGAGTTTAAATATCTGGGAACTACATTTACCGAAGATGGGAAATTGGATAAAGAAATTAATATTAGATGCAGTAAAGCAAACCAAGTATTGGGACAGCTAGCCCCCCTCTTACAGCATAAGACAATCCCAATCAGCACGAAGAGACATCTTATTCAAAGCATATTTATTCCAACTCTGTGCTACCAGTGCCAGACATGGTCACTCACAACAAACCATAAAAGAAATTTAGTAACCAAGGAAATGAGATGTCTGAGAATGGCTGTGGGAGTGACCATTAGAGATAAGATCAGGAATGAGATCATAAGAGAACAAGTCGACACAGAACCAATTCTGGATTACATACAAAGACAGCAAGTGAAATGGTTTGCCCATTTAGAGAGAATGCCTTGTGACACCATACCATACAAAGCATACATGGAAAGAGAAGAAGGACGTAGAGCACTGGGTAGACCAAGAACAATATGGAAGGATAACATCAGAGAAACTCTACAACAGCACGATGTGCCTATGGATTGGTAGATAAATACTGGGCTATCAACATAAATTGTCTATGTTCCAAAACTTGACAAGAAGATCGTTAACATTCATTTGTTTTCCTTTGCATAACTCCAGAACTCCTTACAGTATTTTGTTCTACTCAGCTAAAGCCACATCACATTACTTTAATATATTTTTACTCTGCTTAACTCTACATTACCTTACTTTTTTTTTTTTTTAAAACCAGACGCCCCTTTGCTTAGCTCTACACGACTTTAGTTTACTTTATTGTATACCACTTTAATTAACCAAACTTTACTTGACTTTATGTAACATCATTTTACTCAGTAACGATAAGACCGTGCACACGCCCCTAAGTACGGCAATAAACAATAGTTAGTGTGTCAGTAAAATTGACAGTGTGTGAAGATATTACTTTAGAATTTCCCAAACATGCACGTGTGAGCTTAGCCAATAAATTATTGAACTTAATCTGCAACATCTTCCTTTCTACAGCCTCGTAAGACATGATTAACTGAATCAACAGTCAACTCTAAGCCGAGTGGAAGTAAACAGGAAATGCCGAAACAAAATGTGATGCCACGATAAGAAATGTTTGTAACAATCAAATATAGTGATCAAAAAGTGAGGAGAGATAGAAAGAGAGCGAGAGAATGAGAGAGATAGAGAGATAGAGAGAGCGAGAGAATGAGAGAGACAGAGACAGAAAGAAAGAGAGAGAGAGAGAGAGAGAGAGAGAGAGAGAGAGAGAGAGGAGAGAAGAGAGATGAGAGAAAGACATACAGAAAGACAGATACAGAGTGACATTCAGACCTGCAAAATTTTCATACTGACAACTAGAAACCAACACATGTCTTCTGTAAAGTCTAACGTAAAACTACCGACTTGATGAGATCTGCTTGCTTCCCCATATCTACCTACCATAGGGTTTAGAATACTTTCAAGCCAATGCTAAAAGTGACGGAAATAACGACATGCAGCATTGGAAATGTAAGGAACCCCTAAAGCATGTGAGAACTGGCGTTTGTAACACAACTTGGTCCGATTCATTGTGACATGATGAAAACAATACAACTAGATTGTCTTTACACTGCCACTCACAGGAGCATAGAAGTGACAGATCAGAGAGGATTTGTGGTGAGCTGCATGCGAGATCAAAGGATAGGATGAACTGGTGGCAGTCGGTTGAGAGTCTATGCTCCATTGGGGAACAAAGGGAACAAAAGGAACAAAAAGAAGAAGAAGAAGAAGCAGTAGCAGCAGCAGAAAAGAAGAAGAAGAAGATAAGAATCACTCTCGTTGTTGAATGTGCCTGTGCGGGTTAGCATATAATCTCCCCTGACCCGTGTGTCCTCAGGGTTACTTTGAAAGTCTGCGTACTGAGATGGGAGAGAAGAACATAGATGTGACCATCGTCTGTCCTGGCCCTGTGGTTTCAAACATTTCTAACGCAGCTGTTGCTGGCACCAAGGAGGGAGTAAGTTAGACTTTTCTCTATCTTATAGGTTTTCAGCTCTGAAACAAGACAAGAGTCCAGTTTTCCCTGGTCTCGCTGGATCACCAGTTCTGAAACAAGACAAGAGTCCAGTTTTCCCTGGTCTCGCTGGATCACCAGTTCTGAAACAAGACAAGAGTCCAGTTTTCCCTGGTCTCGCTGGATCACCAGTTCTGAAACAAGACAAGAGTCCAGTTTTCCCTGGTCTCGCTGGATCACCAGTTCTGAAACAAGACAAGAGTCCAGTTTTCCCTGGTCTCGCTGGATCACCAGTTCTGAAACAAGACAAGAGTCCAGTTTTCCCTGGTCTCGCTGGATCACCAGTTCTGAAACAAGGAAAAGAGACCGTTCCTTTTGTGTCACGACGTTACTATTTTGAAACAAGGAATAATTTTCATTAGTAAAACAAAAGAAACATAAAGCTTTCACGTGTCACTGGATTTCAATTCTAAAACAATGAAGACATTTGTAGGTTTGATCCATGATATATTTTTATGGCATTTGTATCCTATTGTCTTATATACTAGTACATTTAAACCCATTACGTCCTTTTCAGGACATAATTTTTAGTTATTTGAAGCCCCACTCTGGCTTTTGCCAGGGGCCGCAATATAGGCAGGCCATACAAATGGCCAAATGTCTGAACGCGGTTTCTGGGACCTCTCCACGGTGATCTTCATCCACATGGAGGCACGTTGTGTCATCGGGTGTTTATCGCTTGTGTGATGTCCTAGTGGGGTAGAAAGTCACTCACTCACCCTATTGTCCTATCAATATCACGATCTGTGTCTGTCTGATATATAAATATATACATTTTAACTCTTCCTTGGGGTCTAATGTTAAGCAGATTGAAAGAGGTATGAGAAAACTTTCTGAGAGCAAAGACAAAAAGCGTAATTTGCCGATTTGATACATTTTAGACCAAAAATAAGATCATTTATAAAAATGATAACGATTAGATAATTTAGATAGAGTTAGAACATTAGATAACTGGTATAGAGGTTTCGAAAAATACTTAATGTGCATTCATGATAGAACATGAGATAATTTTTAAAAGTGATAGAATATCAGATAATTTGCACAGAACATTAGATGCAGCGTCGTGCGACGATGTGACACAGCAATGCGACCGCATCAGGCGTCATCGTAAAGGATTCACGTAAAAGGGGTGGGGGGCCCGAGGGGCGACAAAAGCAGCAAAATCAAAATACAATGTGAACTGTTGATCTGACAGTGCCACGCTCTTGCATAATAACTAGAGAATCTACACCACGCGACTGACTCGATGACTTGTATACAACTTTTGGAACATTAGATATCTTGTATAAAATTATAGTATATTAGACAATTTATATAAAATTATAGAACATTGGATAACTTGTATAAACTGATAGTACTGTAGATAGTTGGTATAAAATGACAGATCGTTAGATAACTGGTACTTGTTCAACATTGTAAAGAGGCTGGAGCATGGTGCTACTTCCCACAAACACATGGCCACGCAACGGTGCGCTTACCTCACGTGTGTGACCATCGCCAACAAACTGTATGAGACCTGGATGTCTGAACACCCTATGTTGGCTGCTGCCTATATCAGCCAGTACTGTCCGGATCTTCTCAGATGGTACGTATCGTTGAATACTCACATTCAGTAACATACACACATATATATAAACCCGTCAATTAACATATTCAGACATATACCCACAGTGATTACCATATTTAGACATATACGCACATTAATTAACATATTCAGACATGTACACATATTCATTATTGCATACAGACATAAACACATATTAATTAACAACTACAGACATAAACGCAAATTCATTGCCATATACAAACATAAAGGCATATTCATTAACATATACAAACATACACACATATTCATTAACATATACGAACACAACCGCAAATTCTTTGAAATAAACAAAAACAAATTTATTTTCATTAACATATACAAACACAAACGCATATAATTAACTTATACAAACATAAAATCATTTTCATAAACATAAAAACATTTTCATTAACACATACAAAAATAAATATGTTTTCATTAACATATACACACATATACATATTCCTTAACACATCTGTCAAACACTTCTAGTGAGTTCACGCCAGCAGGAACCCAGACAGACAAACGCTACCTTTGCCTGGTTGCAATCGGGTGAAGAAAAAAGTGAGGTTATCTTGAGAGAGAGAGAGAGAGAGAGAGAGAGAGAGAGAGAGAGAGAGAGAGAGAGAGAGAGAGAGAGAGAGAGAGAGAGAGAGAGAGAGAGAGAGAGAGAGAGAGCAGATACAATAAACGGTACACGATATTCACATGGATGATATGGACGTAGACCCCGACACAATGGCACATCTCGACTCCATGCATCAGAGCAACACTGACCACACACCCGGACACAGCTCCAGGGCTTGGCGGCATTAGATACAGATTCTTAAAAAGCCAGGAGGAGACAACTACACATGAATTCTAACGTGAATTTAACAAAAGCTTTAAACTGTGTATTATCCCTAATGACTGACTCCATCAATGAATCATATCCACCTCTAAACCTGGGAAAGATCATTCAAGAATAAATGGCCACACAATCAGCATACCCCAGAAGACCGGAGGAATCCTCATGGACAAAAAATTGTCTTGACCAGAACTGCGACACAAAATTGGAGTCAGGGGGTATATTTCCTAATACATTATGCTTTTACCAACTGGGGACAGATACCTGGTGCAATGTTACGGTATTTGCCTACGACATATAGGAAGTTTTCCGGGCCGGAATTGGCTTAGTAGATGCTGGGCATGCGCACAGAGTCAACATCAATTATCTGGGTCGCAGTAGTGCTCTTTTGATGGGAACAACCCCAGACAGATAACAAGAGTAATGAAGATGTCTTGAAAGAAACTCACTCACTAAGAGATTGGCCAACATCAAAAAGAGACAGTCTACATTTTGATTATGTGATGAGAAGGAGAAAACTGGAGTACATCGTGACAGTAGGAAAGTTGGAGGGGAGGAGAGGCAGAGAGAGAACAGATGCTTGACAGTTTGACATCATGGCATGCAGGATCATCTGTGTCAGTCAGAGTTGATTGAAAATACAGGAGACAGAAGTTTGTGGATTCTGCAACGTCCTGTAAAGGAAATGCAACTATACATACATACATACACACATGTATGTATATATATAGTCGGCGTGTGAGTTCCTGGAACCCATTGTGGGGAAAACCAGAATAGACCCACTGCCTCCACAACAAGCATGCCGTAGGAGTCAACTAATCGGAGGGTAGGCATCCTTCGAAGTCGGAGTACATCTGTCTGGAAAAATGGGAGTGGGGAGGGCGAACGAACACCCAGAACTTGTTGCCGGAGATTACAGCCAGTGAACGCCAAGAAGAAGTAGACGTGTGCTGTGTGCTGCGCTTAGGTCTGTACTAGGAAGAGAATCTGGGCAACTGGAGAACTAGGCAACTAGGCAACTGGGAAACTGGAGAACTAGGCAACTAGGCAACTGGGCAACTGGGAAACTAGGCAACTGGGCAACTGAGCAACTGAGCAACTGGACAACTGGGCAACTGGAGAACTAGGCAACTAGGCAACTGGGCAACTGGGAAACTGGAGAACTAGGCAACTAGGCAACTGGGCAACTGGGCAACTGGAGAACAAGGCAACTGGACAACTGGGCAACTGGACAACTGGGCAACTAAGCAGCTGGGCAACTGGGAAACTGGACAGCTGGGCAACTAGGCAACTGGAGAACTAGGCAACTGGGCAACTGAAGAACTAGGCAACTAGGCAACTGGGCAACTGGACAAATGAGGAACCGAAAGGCCCCGTGTCGGGATTAGTCTATTATACTTTATTTTAATATGGTCTCCACAAAATATTAATTCATATAAAATATACTGTTAGTCTGATCTTTTTATGTTAACACATTATTTTTCAGGATTGGAAAGAATCACGGAATGCAGCTGTTGAGGAGAAATCTGAAACGAAAGCAAAGAAAATCTATAACAGAATAAATACAGACCCATACGATCTACACGTTGTCTTGGCAACGTCCTCTTTGCATTGAAACTGTTGTGTTCTTGTCATGATTTGCTGAATGATGACAATGATGACGACAATGATGATGACGACGATGACGACAGTGATGACGACAATGATGATGACGACAATGATGATGACGACGATGACGACAGTGATAACGACGATGATGATGACGACAATGATGATGACGACAATGATGACGACAATGATGATGACGACAATGACGATGACAACGATGATGATGACGACAATGATGATGACAACAAAGATGATGGCGATAATGACGATGACGACAATGATGACGACAATGACGATGACGACAATGACGATGACGACAATGACGATGACGACAATGACGATGACGACAATGACGATGACGACAATGATGACGACAATGATGATGACGACAATGACGATGACGACAGTGATGACGACAATGATGATGACGACACTGATGATGACAACGACGATGATGACGACATTGATGATGACGATGATGACGATAATGATGACGACAATGATGACAACGACGATGATGACGACAATGATGATGACGACAATGACGATGACGACAAGATGATGACGACAATGACGATGATGACAATGAAGATGACGACAATGACGATGACGACAATGATGATGACGACAATGATGATGACGACAATGATGACGACAATGATGATGACGACAATGACGATGACAACGACGATGATGACGACAATGATGATGACGACAATGATGATGACGACAAAGTTGATGGCGATAATGACGATGACGACAATGATGACGACAATGACGATGACGACAATGACGATGACGACAATGACGATGACAACAATGACGATGACGACAATGACGATGACGACAATTATGACGACAATGATGATGACGACAATGACGATGACGACAGTGATGACGACAATGATGATGACGACACTGATGATGACAACGACGATGATGACGACATTGATGACGACGATGATGACGATAATGATGACGACAATGATGATGACAACGACGATGATGACGTCAATGATGATGACAACGACGATGATGACGTCAATGATGATGACGACAATGATGATGACGACAATGACGATGACGACAATGATGATGACAACGACGATGATGACGACAATGATGATGACGACAATGATGATGATAATAATGATGATGACGACAATGACGATGACGACAATGACGATGACGACAATGATGATGACAATGATGATGACGACAATGATGATGACGACCATAATGACGACGATGATGATGACGCTCAACCCTATCAGGATATGACACGATAAACACCCGGTGACACAAAGTGCCGCTTTCCGGATGAAGATCACCCAGGGATAGGTCCCAGAAACCCCGTTTAACCCATTAATGTGGTTATATCAGGGCCTTTGGCAACAACTAGGGTGGGTTTTAAAAAAAAAGACAGAAAGAAAAAATTTCGCCCAATATTGGGACGCAGGTTCTACAAAGTAAATTAAAGTAAGTAAAGATCCTTTTTCACGCCTTTAGGTGCATCGGGCATATGGGAAGAGCACCCATATTTTTACAGACAAATCGGCACTAGCTGGGTAATGTGGTCAGCATTACGCCGGCCGTCTTTACTTCCCCAGGACATAAATCCTGGTACTCATTTAGGCTGGGTCGACCTATTACGCCCCATATCATGATAAATATCCCACGAATCCAGCAGTGGATTTCTATCGCGGTAAATTTGAATGACGAATCGGACTCGCAACATCTATGCAACGGATGCCGCACAGGTTGTAAATAATATTTATAGAATAATTTTCTAAATAGAATACTTTACACCTCCGTATTTCTTAAACCAACAATAATTTTTATTTTTGACGTTTTAGTGTATTAATTATATAATGCGTCTTTAATAAAAGCCTATTTTGTATAAAAAATTACTTTCTCTCATTTATTTATTTTAAATTTGAAATCACTTTGAATCGAGACAACTCTTCACACACTGCTCTTAGCGTCCTTTAGTACAGTATTATATATTCATTACATCCTTCTTAATTTTTTTGTTATTTGAAGCCCCACTCTGGCTTTTGCCAAGTGCCGCAATATAGGCAGGTCATCATTATAGCCAAATGTCTGAACGCGGTTTCTGGGACCTCTCCACGGTGATCCTCATCTGCATGGTGGCACTTTGTGTCATCGGGTGTTTATCGCTTGTGTGATGTCCTGGTGGGGTAGAAATTCAGTCAGTCAGTCAGTACAGTATTTTGTCCTTGTTGTCTCCCTTCCCCGGCAAACACTCCAGCATATAGACACGAGATTCTCCTGCGTAAATGTTCATGTAGATTTACACAAAAGTACGTGTATGATGAGGCAGAGAAAATAAGAAGAACAGTGCTCATGATAGTCATTTATTTTCTTGAATGAACGGATGAAGCACACACTTCACGACACTCAAGCGGTGTCTATAGACGCGCGACTGCAAGATCCGGACTTAGGTTACGTCATAACCCTCCAGAGCAGCGGCTGGCCGAACTGTTAGAACGCTGGCTCTCAAGCGGGAGACCCGGGTTCAAAT